AATTTGGGTTTTGATATTCAAGCAAGTTCTTCTCGTTTTTTTGTCTTATAGTAAATTAAAAATTTTAGCGTTTCTGATACATTGATGAATATATATGTTCACATGGAGTATAAATAATAATAGTTGTTTTCTTTGTTGGGTTTTGGTTGTGTTATGAATATATGTTTTCGTTGACATGGATTTCAAAAATCTTATGTATATCTATAGTATTTTGAGAATCTTGGTGTATGAGTAAAATTGAAGAGATTCCATCTCCCAATAACATTAGATTTTAATAGAATTGAAGAATCAATGAAACATAAACTTTTTGAATAACAARAGATTTTAAAAGGAATGTAAGAATCCATCAACAAATAACAATGGATTTTATTAAGAATTAAAGAATCCATCAACCAATAACAATGGAATCTACAAATTCTCAAAATCTTTAAAAATCCATCTACCAATAACCTCCCCTAAAAGTAGCTTCCAAACACTACTTCAAAAGTGACTGAACAACCTCTAATTCAATTTATGCGTTTGAACGCAAAACGAATAGAACCTATGTACACATGTATTAAATCTTCTGTAAAAACAATTTATATCTACACATAAATATATACTTGATTTACAATTATTTTTGATGCAACATCATTTCTATCTTTTTATGTTGAGAAGAGCTAGCTGAAAGTTAAGATACCTTCGGTGCCTGAAAATTATCTTGTTTTCTCATGATAATTAATACCGAAAGATTTGAAGCAGAGACATTGTCACCTATGGTAGATCGAATCATATCTGGCTTTTGTGTTTGTTTTTAGTTTCATTGATATGAATGATTGTTTTTCCTTGTTCAAAATAGAGAAAATATACAGATGATCATAAAAAGCATGAGGCTTTTAATTAGTATATCATCATCGATATTTCAATTTGATTAGGGCAGTTTGGTAAGATGTCTTCTTCGCGTTGCAATTTAGAACATCTCCATTAATAGCATTCCAATGAAAGAATCACCTTTAAAAAATCAAAAAAATAATAATACAAATAATGTAAAATCGTTCTCATTTGATAGACCATCTATGTCCTCAAAGAATTGATACGTTATTTTATCAGTGGTTCACAATTCACATTCTTTTCTGATAAATTATATTTGTGACAAAACTTCATTTAGTGGTATTTGTGAGAATTGCCTATAATAAAAATACTAAAAAAAAATTGAGATTCTTATAATTGAAAATTATATTTTAACAAAAAGATTAATATTAATAAGGGGACCTTCTTCCACCGTTTCGGCCTTTTTCAGACTAAACAACCCTAACAACAAAAGGAGAGACACACTGATATTTATCCTTTGTTAGTGCATTTCGTTGATTGACAAAACAGTAGTTAGAGTTTGGTTGAGATTAAACCATTTAAAATAATGTATTTATTAGTAATTAACAAAGTTCACG